AACGTTGAGTTTAACCGCGGATTTATTACTTCGTTCTCAACAATCACACATAAAACGATTCTTTCTAATTAAAAAAAAAATGAAAAAAAAAAAAAATAAAAAAAATATGAAAAAAGGAAAAGAAAGAAGGAAAAGGGACCACATAATGCTTAAGTCTGTAAATACCCTTGTGGTACAATATTGACCGGCACACTGTTTCGACTCGTCGCCTACACAGGAGAACAATATATTCAAATCAACCCTGCGATGGACTGGCATCCCATCCAGCGGGGAGTAGAAATACAACTCAAATAAACTCTTCATGCTACCAAAACCAGGATAAGCTGCGGCCTGATGAGCCACTTAGCTCGTATACATTTTATCATACCTAGCTAGCTAGCTAGCTAACTACCTTCCCATTAAGCTGCAAAAGAAGAGACGTCGACAAAATAATGCTCAATTTTGATAGCTATCGAAATGCTATCTACATGCATGGAAAAAGATTGCAAAAGGTCTTTCGTACGAATGTAGCTATTATGTGTTGTTTCAAGGCTTGGTTAATAGGAAGCAATACCAACTTGCTTTACAGGAGGACTGATCTATTGTAACTCAGTATCAATTCTAAAAAGCTTACTCTCGACTGTGACGTGAAATTTGCAGATTTTGTAATTCCCTGCTGCGTCACTTGCGTTGTAAATGACCTCATGTCGTCCCTCGTGGAACCTGTTCCCGGTCAGCACACCATGATTGGTCACATTGACTACCACGCCAGAGTTATCAGTGGCAACCACGGGAGACCAGTTTATTGTGGTATAGTTTTTCGCTATGTCTGCGTAGCGCTTGATGTCACTAGGGCAAGTAACACCAAACGAAGGTCTTTCCACGTCTGTGTAATAACACATGAAAATAATTAGGGAAATTTCACTACGAAGCCGATTAAAAATTTCCCTCTACTCCGAAATTCAAGTGTTGGGTAAATCCCTGGGTCATTCAACTTTTCACTACCTCCATTTATTGTTATCGTTATCGTTATCGTTATCGT